AGTCTTGGTGCATGAATTCGTGGGGCTGGCCAGCCTGGCCAGGGGGAGGGGACATGGGCAGTTGGCCAGTTTGCCTGCTGGTTGATCTCCTGATCAAGGGGGAAATTTGCATATTAGCCGTTTATTATATAGGATATACACTGAGTGGCCAGATTATTATGACCCTCAAAGATCATAATTATCTGGCCACTCAGTGTATATATTATTATCATATTATAGTTTTATAGGTGATATCATGCATCCTGTGATTAGTGTGCATGTGGTCCTGAAATAATGCAGAATGGAGGTTTAATTGTGTGTGTTCAGAAGGTTTCAGAGAGGAAGTGACATCTGAGTTGAATTCCAGAGAATGAATAATAAGTTGACCAACTGGCCAAGGAAAAGAGAAGGTGAGCATTTTAAGCATAAGGAACAGCATGGAGACATCACAAAAATCATGATGTGCTAGAGGACTGTTAGTGCTCCTAAGAGTATGGCATAGGAGATGAAGAGTTGAAGACAAAGCAAGGGGATTAAGAAAGCGGAAAGGAAGAAAAATCTTGCATCTCACGCTGAAAAGACAAATTATGTTTACTTAGGGTAGTTCTTTTAGTTCTCATCTCGGTGGTTGTGTTACTCATTTGTAATCCTGTTAGGTTCATTTGTTACTGCTTATATTTCATTTTGAGGTTCTCCCCTCCATAGCATGGTTCATTTAAATTATTGATTTACTTCATATTCCTTATAGAGCAGTTCCTTGTTTGTTTGTGTTTTGTTTTTTTTACCACTGTACACTACTTCATTCTGTAGGGATACAGCATTTATTCAATTACTCTTCAAACAATGGATGCTAAGCTTATTTCCAATATTGTACAGTTATAAACTGCAGTGACTATCCTAGTGCATATTTATTTTTGTAATTTAAAGAAAATAAAGTTTATCATCCTATCCTATGTTCATTCCAGCTCCTATTCAATTGTTTAGAAACTTCTGCATATGAAAATGCTACTTAGTATAACAATCTGGTTGTTGTTACTCCTGATATTGTATTTACCTAAAACATTTCAAGTCACCTTCCAATCTTATCCAAAACTTACTAGCAAATTGTAAATGCTCTCATTAAGAAATCTATGAGGTTACTATAACATATTCTTAAATGTCATCCTGTAATGTTTTTATTACTACTATCTCCCTCCAAAAATGTACATTACACTTAAGATGTGAATGTATACAGTATAATGAAACAAAAAAATGCTTTAAAAATAGTTTTGAAACTCCATTTGATATAATTTGTAATAAGTCTGATGTTCAGCCAAATGCACTATAACTTAACTGGTTATAAATTTAGAAACTTGAATCTAAAAGAAGGAAATCATGCTAGCAAAGCAATTAGGGCCATTAAATACATTTTCCCATCATCCAGCAAGAGGACTACACTAAATCACTAATGTACTTGGCATTTCGATTTAGTAAACATAGTTTTAATCAATATTTGTTGAGTAGAGCCCTAGTGTGCGGGATGTGAGCCAAAAGACCAGAAGAGAAATTAAGCAGAGGTTTACTATTTACAGATCCTGGAAGAAATACACCACACACCTTGTGGGCAGGGCCACATGGAAGGTCAGGCAGGAACAGGCAGACAGTGACCAGGCCTGGGCACATACCTTTCTGAGAGTGCTTTGAGGTTCAGGGCCAAGGCAGGACCGGTCAGTGTGAACCAGGAGCAGGGTCTTGGTCCGTTGCGTAGGTGGTTTTATCTAAGGATCTCACAAGGATAAGGTGCTGGGAGGCAGGGAACTTACATTTACTTGTCACCACAGGCTGTTCCTAGGGTTTTAATGTCAGTGTCAGGTCCTGGCGGGTTGCCTGGCCTAACAAAATGGATGCCAAAGCAGCAATGCCAAGGCGTGGCTTAGCTGAACTCTTGATAAACACACGTGAATTGAAATCTGCTAACCACTATTATAATCAATATAAAGTTATTCATCTGAAATCTATAACGACTAAAGTAAAATTTAAAATGGTTTAAAACTGTAAGTTGTTTTATCTTAGAGTTTTATAGGTTGGAAGTCAGATACAGGTCTCATTGGGCCAAGGCCAGGGTCTGCGTTTTCTGTGGAAGGCCCTTACTGTTACCAGATTGTAGCATCTGCCCATGAGTCATTCCCCCCCCCCCCCTTTCATCATTAAAGCGAGCACCACTGCATCTCCGTGACAATTCTCCCTCTGCTTCTCTCTCTTTCTCTCTTTGGCTCGCTCTTCTATGAAGACTGATGACATTGGACCCATCTTGTCATCCAGGATGATATTCCTATTTTTAGGTCAGCTGACTGGCAACCATAATCCCATCTGTAGCCCTAATTCTTCTTTTGCCATGTCACCTGACATTCATAGGTTTCAGGGTGTCCCAGCCCATGGTCCTTGGCGCCAATTCAGACACCGACAGGAATCCCCAGCGTGGGTAGTGAAGAATGTTCAGCGCCAACTCCTGGACTGTAGTGCAGCCGGGCCGTGGGCTGTGGGCGCGGCAGGACGGGGCCCGGCGGGGGCTGCGTGGCAGTTTGCCTGGCCCTCTTCAGCTGAGCAGCTCGGACCTCCCTGTTCCGGCCAGCTGGGAAAAGCGGTGCCCTTTCTCTGCCCAGGGGAAGATGGTTCCCGTAGGCGGAAGTCCACGCCCCTGGCCCCCTCATTGGTCAGAATAGGTCCACTCTGATTGGTCAGAGCTGCACAGCTCCCATTGGATGGGAAAGCTTAGTCCTATTGATTGAAATAGGATTCTAGGAACCCTTTATGAGGGCTCAGATGCAGAAACGGAGCAGCCAGCCAGGTCAGTGCAGAGGCAGGCAGTTCAGCAGCGGTTTCTCCCTAAAGGGCAGTTTGCCTGAGAGGCCCTTGTACAGAAATGGCTGCTAGGCTCTCCCTCCCTCCCTTCCCCTCCTCTCCCTCCTTCCTCTCCCCACCCATTACCCCTCCGTCCTTCCCCTTTCATCCCTCCTTCCCCTCCTTCCCTCCCTCCCTTCCGCTCTTTCTTTCTCTCTTCCTCTCTCTCCCTTCCCTCTCTTTCCTTCTCTCTCCTCCCTTCCCTTTCTCCCCTCCCCTTCCCTTCTCCTCTCATCCCCTTCTCTCCCCTCTCCTCCCCTTCCCTCCTCTCAGCCCAGTTAGCCACCAGCAGCCCTTAGTCTTAGAGTTCACGGGGACCATTTTCTTAATGAGGAAAATTATTTCCTTTTTGTGGAAAAATTCTTATTTTCATTGCAGTAGATCTTTAAAACATTTTTATTGATTGATTTTAGAGAGGGCAAGAAATGGAGAAACTTCGATTTGTTCCACTTTATGCATTCTTTGGTTGACTCTTTAAAAAAAATGTTTTTATTGGTCTCAGAGAGAGGGAGGAAGCGATAGAAACATCAGTGATGAGAGCGAATTATTGGTTAGCTGCTTCCTGAACACACACACCCATACCCCCCACCCACCCCGCCCCCCACTGGGGATCCAGCCTACAATCCAGACATGTGATTTGACTGGAGTCAAACCATACTCAACCATTAAGCTATACATACCAGACTTGATTGATTCTTCTATGTGCCCTGACCAGAGATTGAATTGTCACCTTGGCATATCAGGATAATGCTCTAACAAACTGAGCTACCTGGCCAAGGCCTGCAATGTCATTTTTAAAGCATTTTTTGAGAAGTCATAATTTCAGCATGGAAACCTCAAAATGAAACAGCAAGTAGTCATTTCTACTGTAAGTAGAACACAGGAGGGGCTGCTAATAGCCACTTGACTACTCCAATCCTATTATAGAAAAATAATGAATTAAGGCAAAGCAAGGAGGTAGAGGTGGTGCTAAAGGTAGTAGTAGGTAGCTTTTGCAATAGAAAGGAATGGAATAAGCACAGGGTTAAAGGGTTATTTTGTTATTTTTACATAAATTGCCCAATCCCTAGAGAGAATAAAACAAAACCTCCCGCACCAAATATGAATAAGATTTGGGAGATTCTTTTATTTTTATTTTTTTAAGATGAACTTATTGGGGAGACATCCTATCTAATAAAGAGGGAATATGCTAATTGACTGTCACAACCTCACAAAGATGGCAGCACCCATAGCCAATAAAGAGGGGATATGCTAATTGAATGCACTCAAAGATAGAGGTGCCCACAGCCACAAGATGGTGGCGCCCAGTCCCCTCAGCCCTGCTGGGCAGCAGGTGTGCGGTATAGTCGGGCCCACCCCCAGGCGGGTCTGGCTGCTTCACGTACCTGCTTCCAGAGTCCCCCAGTTCCCTCAGCTGCCCAGGGCCAGCCCAAGGTGCAGGCAAGGCTCAGATGGCGTCTGTTCAGTCACCCAGGGCCAGCCCAAACTTAGGTAACCAGGGCCGGCCAAGGCTTGTGCTGCTGGCAATGGCAGCAGCAGAGGTGTGACGGGGGCGTTGCCTTCCCCTGATCACCAGGTCACCTCCTGCCCCTGAGGGCTCCTGGACTGTGAGAGGGGGCAGGCTGGGCGAAGGGATCCCCCATCCAGTGCATGAATTTTCATGCACCCAGCCTCTAGTTGGTTAATGAAAGTATATAGGTTTAAGGTGTATAATCTATAGCACATAATCTGTATATTGCATTAGATTTCTTGTGTTCATATCCTGTTTTGACCAATTATTTAGTCTTTCTGTGCATTAAATTCATCATATATGATATGGGAATTGTACTAGTCACAATATCATAAGGTTATGTTATAAATAAATGAATATTTGTAAAGTGCTTAGAACAATATCTTTCAGTGTGTTTTTCAAAATAAAAATAAAAATCTACTGATAGGGAGGAAGACTAGGAAAAGAATACAAATAGCTTAATCAGGTAAATCAGTTGAGTCTACTTATTTAAGAAATTTTATTTCTAAAACCTATTCTTAACACACAAACATAGAATAAATTCATATTATCATGTATTCATGTTTTCAGAGCTAATGATTATATACATCCTGGAACTAGGTGGTAGCATTTCTACTGCTTTTGTTCACAGGATATTCTGAATAATCTTGAATCATGTGACCTGGAGGAAGATGACCTTATGCTTGATGTGGATCTGCCTGAGGATGCATCTCTTGAAAATGGTAAGTGGGGACAGTGTTGAATCTTCAGAGACATATAGTTGAATTATTTGATGATAAGCCAATTTGATATTTGTTATTTACAGAGTTCCTAATCTCAGTAGAGGAAGACTGTGTGTGTGTGTGTGTGTGTGTGTGTGTGTGTGTGTGTGTTTTTTTTTTTCCAGGACCAATGATCACCAGCTGCCTTAGTACCAAAACATTATGCTTCTGAAACCTCTTGATGTTGATTCTGCACGTAGAGCAATCAGGCTGCTCTGCGTGTGCCACACACGATAAAAGTCCCTTTTTTAAGGAAGACTTTTTAGACTGAGAATTTAAAGTAATGTTATATAAGTTCATTGCAAATTTATTTAAATGTTTAAAACCTGATTTTGTAGGTAGATCTTGGTATAATTCTGTATGATGCAATAATACTGTATACCTATTCCATAAAGTAAGTGGTAGCTAGGATTTGGCCTTTTTCCCCATATATACCAAATTTTTTCTTATTTTATCTCATTTTGATTCCATAAAGAAGTACATTTAGAGAAACAGATAACATTTGACTTGAGAAATATCAGTAAAATATCATGGTTGATAAATATTTTAAAAAGATTAGTTCTGGGAAAATTGTAACCTGAATAAATTATTCTATCATTTTAATTACCAAGTCAAGTCTTTCTTCCTCTGTAGACCCCAGTAACTGCTAGAGTCGGGCTTTAGATAATCCATATGTCAAAGGAGCCTGGCTGCTCTTGCCCCCATTGACTCAGCGTTTGCAGGATTGCTATCTTGAGGACTGGTCAAGGACCAGAGACCAGCTAGGAAAGCCCCTGGGACACAGGTTGAAATGTGGATCCTATTGGAAAGAGAAACTGGCTCCAGAGATATTTCAGTCAACATTTACCAGTTTCCTCAGGCCTCCCAGGGACCAGGGATGAATTAGGATGGAGAGGCTGGAAGAATGCTAGAATGTTTGAGGGAGGGTAGATGTTTGTTTTCAGTGCATCGCTGAGGTATTAGGAGCCATTGCTGCTCATATTTGTCATATTGATCAGGCTTTTTTGTGTGTGTGCGCTGCCAGGATGCTCTGTGACAGTCAATCTCAAAATCTCAGTGGTTCAAAATAGACGTTTACTTTTCTCATTCATGGATCTGTGGGTTAGCTTGGACAGGTTAGGCTATGGGTCTGAATTCATGTCTCCTTGCTTTCATTTTGAGACCAGTCTGCTTGGAACAGGTTTCTCTCATGGCAGATAACAGGACAGCAGGGTGAGCAAAGACTTGCATCCCTTCTTCTCTAAGAACCAGCACTGTCAGTTCTGCCCCAGTGGGGCAGGGAGGGCCACACTGTTGGCTGTGAGAAGCCCTGCCACCGAGGACATTAAATGCATAGTTCTACTCCAGGAGGAAGGGATGCGCTGAGATCGGTATCTGCTCTATCTGCTGCACCTTCTTGTGGTTTTGCTGTCATTTGGGATACTCGAGCAACAAAAGCTGAGTTCCAGTCACCTGAGAAAGAAAAACCACAGCTAACACCCAGAAAGAAAAACAGAAAAACAATAAAACTCCCAGAATTAGAGTGGCCAAGGACAATGGTCGGCAAACCGTGGCTTGTGAGCCACATGCGGCTCTTTGGCCCCTTGAGTATTCTAATGCCACTTTTTCAAAATAGACTGGCCTAGGCCAAAAACTGACTTCTGGCATAGGCCACGAAATTTCAATCGCACTGTACGCATGTGACTCGGAGCCACGGTTTGCCGACCACTGGCCTAGGAGATAATGAGAGCACTTAGTGAGAATCAATTGCAGAACAAAGCTTTCTGGAGCTATAAAAGAAGGCTTCCCACAGAACAGTTCAGTAGATGACAAAAAAGAATAGCTGTTGTTGAAATCTGAGTTAGTGACCTGGAAGATCAAGTAGAAAAATATTGTAGAACAGAGGAAAAACCTACAGCATTGAAAATGATAGGGGAAGAATGAGACTTCCTGCCCAGGATATGTATGTGAAGTTTCAAGGGCTGGTATTGAGAGACCAGGGATCTACCTTCTCGGAATAAATCATCTCCTAAGCAATGCATTTTACTTTGGCAGAATTATAGCCACTTCTTTTTGGGAACCGTATGCCCTTTCTTAAAACAGGAAGTAAAGATGGAGTCAATCTTAGAGCCTGCCTAAAAAGTTATCCACATAGAATATAAAAATGTGATCACAGGGAACTTTATTGTTTTGAGGTCTTATTTAGGGACTTGGGAAAAGTTCAAGGGAATTCCTAAGGAATAGCTCATGTAAATTACAGATTTTCCTAGAAGGCAAACAAGTATTAAGTATTTTGAGTTAATGGATACTGAAGAAAGCAGAACATGGATCTAAAATATATTGCCTTCAGAGGACCCAAAGATAAAGTAGCATTTAGATTTGGTGCTACAAGGAAGCAAGTAATGACTGTCTTTATAGCTCTGAGGTGCTGAATGACACTATACCTACCCACTGAGTGTTTTGATTAGGAGAATAGGAATGTTATGAAGACTGGTACAGTGTGTTTTTAAAATATATATATTTATATTGATTCCAGAGAGGAAGGAAGAGGGAGAGAGAGAGATAGAAACATCCATGATGAGAGAGAATCATGGATAGGCTGCCTCCTGCACGCCCCCCACTAGGGATTGAGCTCATAACCCAGGCATGTGCCCTTGACGTGAATCGAATCCGGGACATTACAGTTCACAGGCTGACACTATCCACTGAACCACACTGGCAAGGGCTGATACAATGTTTAAGGAGTCTTCTGATATATTATACTTCTGACTATTGTTTTTAGTACCTTTAGATTCTGGTTTCTGAAGCTATTAGGGAAATTTGGGTCAAGTTTTTGGATGGGTCACTCTGAACCTGCATGGGTTCCGCCCACTTAGCCTGCCAGTGTAGGTAGAGTTTTTGCTAACAAGATGACTGGCACCTTGTTGAAATCTTCAATTTGAATTCAAGTTTACTGTGACTTCATTGTGATAGGGGACTCTTCTGTGATTTCAAGGAAGAAGTTCTGAGAATATTAATCTGGTAATTGCATTTGTATATCAAATCATTGCCTATTAAGACAGCACAGAGAAGGAAAGAATGTTCCTTGGTCAAAGATTTGAGAACTGTTTGAGAGTTATTGGAGATATTCACATCTTAGTGGTTTGGTGACATAGAGGGAGGTTATGTAGAAGTAGTAGGTTGATATTGTATTAATAGTATCTGTATTAATAAAATATTTTCAATGTTGTCCTTTAATTTTGAGAGAAATTATCTTTGAGTTTAAGGGTAAAACCAGAAATAGGGAGCTTGATTTCTTCCTCAGAACACTTTGATTCATCATCCACTTTTTCTATTTTATTTTTTAATGAAATATAGGACACTTATTTTTTAAAAGCCCTTCTATTTATTGTAACTATAACTGTATTCAGAGATTTCTTCCACTATTTAACTGAGTATGGAAGCATCTAATTGTTACATGTGAAGGACATCATTTTATTGAGTCTTATTCTACTTTTTTCTAATGCTCTTTTTGGGTCTTGGAAGTCTGGGAGTGAGACTATTTAAAGCATTTCGGCCTTAAAATCCTTCCACTTCTATTATCTACTCCTTAATATTATCAAACTAGAGGTCTGGTGCACGAAATTCGTGCACAGGTGTGTGTGTCCCTTAGCCCAGCCTGCACCCTCTCCAATCTGGGGCCCCTCGAGGGATGTCCGACTTCCCTCTCACAATCCAGGACTGCTGGCTCCCAACCTCTTGCCTGCCTGCCTGCCTGCCTGAATGCCCCTAACCACTCCCTGCCAACCTGATTGACACCTAACTGCTCGCCTGCTGAGCTGGATTGCTCCTAACTGCCCTCCCCTGCTGGCCAGGTCACCCCTAACTGTCCTCCCTTGCAGACTTGGTCACCACTAACTGCCCTCCCCAGCTGGCCTGGTCACCACTAACTGCCCTCCGCTGCAGGCCTGGGCCCCCTCACCCCATCTGCCCTTCCCTGAAGGCCTGGTCCCCCCCCCCAAATTGCCCTCCCCTGCAGGTCTGGTCACCCACAACTGCCCTTCCCTGCAGGCCTTGTCACCACTAACTGCCCTCCCTTGCCAGCCTGGTTTCCCCTTAACTGCCCTTCACTGCAAGTCTGGTCCCCACTAACTGCCCTCCCCTGCTCCCCGCCACACAACTGCCCTTCCCTAAAGGCCTTCCCCCCCTCCCCAAAATTGCCCTTCCCTGCAGGCCTGGTCACCTACAACTGCCCTTCCCTTCAGACCTGGTCCCCCACAACTGCCCTCTCCTGCAGGCCTAGTTGTCCCCAACTGCCATCCCTTGCAGGCCTGGGTCATTCCCCCCTCTCCCACCCCCAACTGCCTTCCTGTGCCGGTCTGGTCACTCCTAACTGCTGCAGCCCCTCCCCCCCTGCCCCCCGCCCGAATAGGCCTGGTTGCCTCTAACTTCCCTCCCCTGTGAGCCTGGTCACCCCTACCTGCCCTCTCTTACAGGCCTAATCCCTCCCAACTGCCCTCCCCTGCAGGTCTGGTCCTCACCAACTTCCCTCCCCTGCAGGCCTGGGTCCCCCCCAATAGCCCTCCCCTGCAGGCCTGGTCACAACTAACTGCCTTCCCCTGCAGGCCTGGTCACAACTAACTGCCCTCTCCTGCAGGCCTGGTCACCCCCAACATCCTTCCTCTGCCAGCCGGGTCATCCCAACTGCCCTCACCTGCAGGCTTGATCACCCCCAACTGCCCTCCTCTGCTAGCTTGATCGCCCATAAACTGCCCTCCCTTGCAGGCTTGGGCCTTCCCACAGCCCTCCCCTGCTGGCCATCTTGTGTCCACATGGGGGCAGGATCTTTGACCACATAGGGGCAGCCATCTTATGTGTTGGAGTGATGGTCAATTTGCATATTACTCTTTTATTAATAGGATAGAGGCCTGGTGCAGGAGTGGGGACCGACTGGTTTTCCCTGAAGGTTGTCCCGGATCAGGGTGGGGGTTCCCTTGGAGTATGGGGTGGCCTGGGCGAGGGGCCTGTGGTGGTTTGCAGGCTGGCCATGTCCCCCAGTGACCCAAGCAGAAGCCCTGGTATCTGAGATTTATTTATCTTCTATAATTGAGACTTTGTAGCCTTGAGCAGAGCCAAGCCTCCTCCTTGCTCTGTGGCCGCAGCCATATTTGTTGGGTTTTATTTATCTTCTACTAGAGGCCCAATGCATGAAATGTGTGCAAGGGGGGAGTGGTGTCTCTCAGCCCAGCCTGCACCCTCTCCAATCTGGGACCTCTCTCAAAATGCAGGACTGCTGGCTCCCAACTGCTCATCTGCCTGCCTTCCTGATTGTCCCTAACTGCTTCTGCCTGCCGGCCTGATCACCCCTTAACCACTCCCATGCTAGCCTGATTCATGCCTAACTGCTCCCCTTCCAGGCTGTTTGCCCTTAACTGCCCTCTCCTGCAGGCTTGGTCATCCCCAACTGCCCTCCCTTGCAAGCCTGGTGCCTCCCAACTGCCCTCCTCTCCTGGCCATCTTGTGGCCATCTTGTGTTCACATGCAGGCAGGATCTTTGACCACAAAGGGAGCAGTAATCTTGTGCATAGGAGTGATGGTCAATCTGCATATTACTCTTTTATTAGATAGGATAGAGGCCTGGTGCACTTGTGGGGGCCAGTTGGTTTGCCCTGAAGGATGTCCAGGATCAGGGTCGGGGTTTCCCTGGTGAATGGGAAGGCTTTGGCTAGGGGCCTGTGGTGGTTTGCAGGCTGGCCACGCCCCCTGGCAACCGAAGCAGAGGCCCTGGTATCTGGAATTTATTTACCTTCTACCATTGAAACTTTGTAGCCTGGAGTGGAGCCAAGCCATTTCTGTTGGGATTTATGTACCTTCTATAATTGAAACTTTGTAGCCGTTAGTGGAGGCCTGGGCTGGCTAGGGTATGTGGAAAGCTTGGCTTCCTCCATTGCAGGGGAAACCCAAGCCTCCCTCCTGCTCTCTGTGGCAGTAGCCATCTGGGTTGGGTTCATTTGCATATTTGTTCCTGATTGGCTGGTGGGCGTGGCTGGTGGGTATAACGGAGTGGTGGTTAATTTGCATATTATTATCTTTTTAGATAGGATAATTTAAACTTTGTAGCCTTAAGCTAAGGCCAAGGCAGGTCATGGTGTGCAGAAAGCTTGGTTTCCTCCATTACTGGGGAAACCCAAGCCTTCTGCTTGCTCCGTAGCTGCAGCCTTCTTGGTTGGGTTAATTTGCATATGTGCTCCTGATTGGCTGGTGCGCATAGGTTGTAGGTGTAGTGGTGTGGGGTTAATTTGCATATTACTCTTTTATTAGATAAGATTCTGTTGGAGAATTTTTAACTTTTTCTAAGAAATCACCACTGATTGTTATTTCACATTATCTTCTTAATAACATTGTAAAGTGAATAAACATGTGATTGATGGGTGCCTCAGCTAGAAGTGTCAGCAGGACTTTTCTACAGTCTTGGTGAAGACTCACCTCTGAGAAGCCAGCCCCCTCTCTCTCCGTTTCTACCAGTTGTCTTTTGTGGTCATGACAGATGTTTCTTTCCAGTACTTAGTTGCTGTTATGCCCATGTTTGAATTTAAATTTCAGTAAAGGTGCTTTAATTTGAAGGCTATGTATAGTATCAACACTTTTAGCAAACTGAAAAGCAGCACATCAATTTCTGCAATATAATTTTACATGGTATTGAACCCTGTCTCCTGACCTGTTTGCCTGGTTTGTTTGCTACTTGTTATTCTGTGTGTACTGTATGGTTGATGTGCTAATTAGGTTCTTATTAAAACAATTTCTTGTGTGGGGAGTGAGTGAATTTTACCTGCCTGAATTAAGAAAAATATGAATTCAGAACACTTAACAGTAGATATAGATTGTCCCTCAGATTTATAGAGTTGTACCATGCTTTTATTTGTCTGACAGCCTGGTTTTCTAGAATTGAACTTAAAAGTATAATAGATTTTAATTTATCACAATAAAGTGACAAGGCCTTCCCAGCACTATTGTCAGTCCATGGGCTATGCATATCCTATCTAATAAAAGAGTAATATGCAAATTGGCCATACTTCTACTACTCCCACAAGCCATGCCCACCAGCCTTTCAGGAGCAAGTATGCAAATTAACCCAACCAAGATGACTACTGCCACCAAGAGAGCAGGAGGAAGGTTTGGATTTCCCCAGAGATGGAGGAAGCCAAGCTTTCTGTACATATTGACCAGCCCAATATTGGATGGAGGAAGCCAAGCTTTCTGTACATATTGACCAGCTCCACTCCAGGCTACAAAGTTTCAATGATAGAAGATAAATAAATCCCAGATACCAGGGCCTCTGCTTGGATCACTAGGGGGGATGGGGCGGCAGAGCGTGGCCAGCCTGCAAACCACCACAGGCCCCTCACCAAAGCCTTTCCATTCTCCAAGGGCTTCCCTACCCTGATCCGGGACACCCTATAGGGCAAATCAGCTGGCCCTCACCCATGCACCAGGCCGCTATCCTATCTAATAAAAGAGTAATAGGCAGATGGACCATCACTCTAACACACAAGATGGCTGCCCCTATGTGGACACAAGATGGCCACCACAAGATGGCCAGCAGGGGAAGGAAGCTGGGAAGGACCAAGCCTGCAAGGGAGGGCAGTTAGGCATGACCAGGCCTTCAGGGGAGGGCAGTTAGGCATCAATCAGGCTGGCAAGCAGAAGTGGTTATGGGCAAACAGGAAGGCAGGCAGGTGAGCAGTTGGGAGGCAGCAGTCCTGGATTATGAAAGGGATGTTCGACTGCCCATTTGGGCCCGATCCTACCATAATTGGGCCTAAACGGGGAGTTGGACATCTCTCGAGGGGTCCCATATTGAAGAGTGTGCAGGCTGGGCTGAGGGAAACACACACTTATCCACGAATTTTGTGCACTGGACCTCTAGTATGTGTAAAAGTTCATTGGCTAATCTCCCTGCCCCCAACCCCCTTCCCACTGAAATGTGTCAATCTGTTGCATGTTTCAATGTCTCTGCATCTTACCTTTTGTGACAGCATGGAGGGACCTGGAGAGTATTATCTAAGTGAAATAAGACAGTCAGAAAAGACAAGTACCACATCATTTCACTTATATGTGAAATCTAACGAACAAAGTAAATTGATGAAATTATTTTAAATGTAAGCTGCCTTTAAAAATTTTATCAGTCCTAGCCAGTTTGGTTCAGTGGATAGAATGTCAGCCTGAGGATCAGAGGGTCCCAGGTTCGATTATGATCAAGGACACATACCTGGTTCGGGCCCTGGTCAGGGCCCATGCAGGAGGCAACCAATTAATGTGTTTCTCTCACACCGATGTTTCTGTCTTTCCTTCTTCCACTCTCCTTAAAAATTAATGGGAAAATATCCTTGGGTGAGGATTAACAACAACAAAAGTTTATTATAAATTTTTTTTAAAAAATACTATAAAACATACTCCTCCCCCAATTTATACCTCTAATGAAGTTAAACAAAATTTCAGTGTCTTTTAAAATCTTAGCCTGGCCAGCCTGGCTCCATTGTTGAGCTTTGACCTATGAGACCTATGGACCAGGAGGTCATGGTTTGATTCCCATCAGGTATAAGCCTGGGTTGTGGGCTGGATCCCTAGTGTAGGGTGTGCGGAAAGCAGCCAATCAATGAGTCTCTCTCATCATTGATGTTTCTATCTCTTTCTCCCTTCCTTTCTGAAATCAATACAAATATATTTAAAAATAATAAAATGTTATTCATTTGGAAGACATATGGTATAGTGAGTTCAGTGTATATGAGAATTGAATTACACCATTTTTCCTTTGGAGTGGGAAAGTGTTTTTTATCTGGTGTAGTATAATGGGATACTTTTCATATTTCTAATTCAAGTTTTAGGTTAAGGGAAAACAATCATTAAAATACTGTAATGAGTTATTGTTTAGTTGGGGATTACATTTATTTTTTAAGGTTTTTTTTTTTTTTTTTTTTTTTTTTTTTTTTAATCACAAGAAGTCCTGAACATGCCGGATTTGAACTTTCTCATGTAGTAATTCTCGGACTGGAGAATGCTTTCTTGTTCCTGGCTTGATTTAGTGTTGAGCTGTATTTTTAGTAACAGCCCTAACTCAGTAGCTATGTGAGCTGAGGGAAGATGGAGTCACAGGGTAAACTGGGCTTGCTTCCCACGGGGAGGCTGGGAATGGAGCAGGAAGGAGGCCTGCTTGTCTGCCTGAGTGCAACTATGAGTAGGCAGCAGGCGACACAATGTCTCCGTTGTACAAAGTAACGCTCGCAGCGAGTGCTCAGATATGTGAGGAAAAAGTGTTCCGGTAAGTGAAGGAGAAGCTTGGCTGTTCCAAAGAGATTCTTTTCGTGTTTTTGTGGCATTTGGATTTCAGGGAGTGGACTGTTTGTTGCTGCAAAGGCCGCCTTTGTGTCCAGAGGCATTTTAGACTGTTGAACAGCTCTACTGTGGGCAGATAGGAGCGTCTGTCCTTCTACAACTGGGAGCGTCATTGCAAACATAGGGTTTGCTTGTGCTGAAAAGCTAAGGTGTGCTTTTTGAAATGAGGAATACTGTGACATTCATTTTTAATAATGAATTCTCTACTAACCTTAAATACTTTTTTTGTCATTTTATTCTGAAGTCAGAACCAATTAGTGACAATGATGAAAACCACATAAAACTGGTGTTTAAGATGTATATTGCTGATTTCAAATTAATTTGCTGTTTTGAAACATTAATTATTACTTTTAGTGACTGTGATGGGAAAGTTTTATAACTTACTTTAGTTTTGGATGATATAAACTTAAGTTGTTACCAAAAGAACTAGTTTTTTATTTTTCTTGGAAATCTCGATTTTGTGATAAGCTAACATAAATGATTGGCATTTTTTAGAATACTACTTTTATATTTTAAGCAGCAATTAACGATCAAGCTCTAAGTAGTTAACTTTTGTAGAGTATGTACATGTTTATAGTGTTTTGCTTTTGAATCTGCCTAGTGGAGTGTGACAATATGAATCGCTTTGATCGATCAGACAGAAATGTTCGGCAGTCGCAAGAAGGATTTTGGAAAAGGTCACCCCAGAGGTGGAGTGGACAGGAACATTACCCCCTCAGTCATCCTGACCGCTATCACCACCATGGAAAAAGTGACTTGAGCAGGTGAGTCTAATTTCCTATTCTCTTATTAATTTTGAGTCATAAAGTCCCCTTTATTCTCCACTCCTTCCCCCCAAAATATTTTTTTGGCCTGTTTTTTGTTTGTTTTGTTTTGTTTTGTTTTTTGGTGCGGCAAAAAATATTTCAAGTTATATATAGTACTAATTGGAATAATATGTCTAATTTTTTCCTTTTGATCCAAATCTTTGTTCATTAACTTTATCGTGAATATTAATATTTTTTTATGTCTGCTATTTGGAATTTAAGTTTTGTTGTGATTTTTCTAGTTCTCTTTTGCGAATGATTAAATGTTGACTTTGTTAAAGTTTATTTTTTTAAATACTAATGTAAAATTAGTGCCAAGTGCTTGTCTTCTTTTGTACATATAAATTGAAATTAAAAAATTTCTCAAGTACTGTAAAGGAAGGTACTTTACAATGCTAGAATTCTTTTTCTTTTTGAAGCATAGCATAGTCTTTAATTTGATCAGACCTTTTATATAATGTGTCTTTATAATCATTCAAGCCTGGCCTGGCACATGTTCGCTTTGTGAACTTAGGTAATGTATATAATCCTTCTCCACTTCAGTTTATCATTTGTAGACTCTAAAATACCTTTTCCTCACTGTTCAAAGATCAGGTTAAAAGAGCAGTATTTGGCTTATATTAAACACCCAGTGGCAGTTGTTAAATTTTTTTCTTTGTCACTCTCTCATCTTGTTCCTTTGGGATTTGAGGTCATTTTTTAGCCAGTTTGCAATACAAATAATAAAATTGCGATAAAGAAATAGTGGGAGGGAAACACATGGCCCATATAATTCTTGAAATAAGAAAAAAAAATTGGCTCTAATTACTTGTGGCAAATGCAAAGAACAAAACTGGATTTATTACAAGAGTTCCAGGCTTCGTAGACAAAGGACACATTTCTCCTGAATTGTTTGGCCTTTATAAGACAGAAACCTGAAAGGTTGCTTTGTATGAAAATACCTTGTGATATAGTGGACAGATCTCAGACAGTTTCTCAAAGTAGAAGTAATGATAAATTCCTTCAGTCCACAGAGAACTCTAGTCCAAGTGAGAAAAGGTGGTTCTACAGTGGGTCATGAAATGATGATGTCCAACTAAAGATTATAGTTTGATGCAAGGATGAAATTTAGAAAAGCTGAAAGAATTCATCCAGTACACATCTTTCCAGGAATTATTTTGGCTATTTTATTTCTCACATCTGGGATTTTGTTAATGAATGGACATCAGAGAATTGGTATTATCAGACAAGAATCTGATGTGAAAATAGTCTTTTTTTTAAAAAATTTGTCTTTATTGTTGGAAGTATTATAGATGCCCCTCTCCCTCCTTCAGTAGCACGCCCCCCCCCCCCCACACACACACACCATCTTACGCCCCACAGGGCATACTGCACTACTGTCTATGTTCATGGGTTATGCATATATACATATAAGCTCATTGGTTAATTATTGCTAATAATGAAGCTTTTGCTTCTCTCATCTTTGATGTTTGGTTTAAAAGAAGGTAAATTTAAGGCCAACTTACAAAAATTTAGAAGTCTAACAAAAACATGAATCATTGCTTATACTTTAGATAAGATTCATTCATTCATTTCACAGATACTCATTGAGAAGCCAGTATATTGAACTCTGTGCTTAATGCTCAAGCTAGGATGAATTTAGGTATTGCATGAGGGGTGAACGCTGTAGATTGGTCACAGCTTCTTGGAGCATTGTTCTGAGGATGATAAGAAGCTGTGGAGTGTGTGGGCTCAGTTGGAATCATTGCAGTTATTGGTGAGGTAGGAGATTTGTGTGTCTCTTCCATCCCATGCAAAGAGGAGGAGTAGATTGCTGGCAGGCTGCTGAGGCTGAGAGGGACAGGTATGTCGGTAGTTATAATGCAGTATTCGTGTAGGACAGTGGTGCCATGTGCCTTAATATGGTGACATCTACAGACTGCAAGAGCATGCAGCAATGGTTTTTGTCTTGGGTAGTGCTGTGTAAAGAAAGTTACTATTAAAGTGTGAAGTATGACTGTAGCCTTTTTAGAGGAGTGGTTTTTGTAGGAGAAGGATGAGATTCAAATGGGAAAAATAGCATGTATAAAAACATTAAGAAATGATGGCATTTTCAGAGAACTACATTTAGAGCTTGACTGCTAGGTCCTTTGGAGAAATGAATAGATGTGATTTCTAACTCTAAATTACAAAACAATCTATGCATTTAAAATAAAGATGCCAATTCAACCAGTGAGAGGCTATTAGTCAGACCATCTAAAGTAGAACGAATTATCAAGGTTAGTAATCTCTGTCCCTGGGAATGATAAAGGACAGGCTGATTAGTTTATGTCAGGAAAGTTAAGCAACATTTTCCAAAAATTATATTCCTGGATGTCAATAGGTATAAATAAAAGAGATTCTCTGATCAAATGAGTGTAGGAATGAATTAAACAACATTAAATGAGTTTTTTAATAGTAGATTCCACAGTGCCTTTAAAATATAGACATTAGAGGCCTGGTGCATGAATTCATGCATGGTTGGGGTCCCTTGGCCTGGCCAGTGATCGGGGCCAATTGGGGCCATTGCGGGGGAGGGCAGCTGACCAGGGGAAGGGACCGCAGGAGTTTGACCGGCTGGTGGTTGGGACCAGCCACCTCTCCCCTCCCCCCATTGGCCCCGATGGGGGAGCTAACTGAGAAGAGGGACTGAGGGAGGTTGGCTGGCCACAGGAGGTTGCTGTTGGATTTTGTCAAATGCAATTTGTGTCTATAGAGATAATTATTTTCCCCCCTATTCTCTTAATTTGGTGATAACATTGAGTTATACCAACTTTGCATGTCTTAGATAAATCCCACTTGGTCATAGTATGTAATCTATAATAATAAAAGTGTAATATGCTAATTAGACCGGACAGCTGAACAACCTTCCAGACGTCATCCCAGATGTTCTTCCGACTAAAGCCATTGCAGTGGGGGCTGAGGCAAGGCGGTTAGGGGTGATCATGCAGGCAAGCAGGTAGACAAACGGTTAGTGGCCAATGGTCCTGGATTGCAAGATGCAGTTGGACATCTGCAAGAGGTCCCGGATTGCCATAGGATTCAGGCCCAGCTGAGAGACAACGGCCCCCTCTGTTCCCCACATGAATTTTGTGTTCCTGGCCTCGAGTTATTTTATTAGTTGCTAGATTCAATTTGTCAGTATTTTGTTGAGAATTTTTCTGTAGACATCCTACATACCAGTAATAAAAGCATAGTTTGCAAATTGTCCCCTCGACCCTAGTTCTTCCGGGAGTTCGATGAGGGGGTGGGTTAGCCAAGGGAAGAGAGGGAGGTCCTGGCGCTGGCAGGTGGCTGGGGGATGGAAGGGAGGAAGTACCCAGCCAGCAGCTGGCAGCCACTAGGGACCCTGCCAGTGCATGAATTTCATGCATTGGGCTTCTAGTAATAAATATTTGTCCTTACTTTTCTGGAGATGTTTTTCTTTGGTTTTGGTATTATGCTCACATAGACTGAATTGGTATTTCATTTATTTCTATTTCTGGAAGAATTTGTGATGGGTTTTTGTTAATTTTTCATTGAATGTTTTTGTGATGAATTTACCAGTAAAGTTTGGGCCTGGGTGTTTTTTTGTGCTAAGTTTTTTTTTTTTTTAATTATTATTATTACTAATTTAATCTCTACAGATGTTCTATAGATATTTGTTAGTATTTTTTTTAGTTTGTAGTGTTGTTCAGGTCTTCTATTTCCTTGCTCAGCTTCTTTCCAGATGTGCTATCCACTAAGGAGAAGAAAGTTTTGAAGTCTTCAACTTCAATATATCTTGTAGGGAAGGCCTGAGAGTAACATACTCTTTCAGTTTTTTGTTTTCATAGGAATCTTTTAATTTCTCTTTAGTTTTGAAGGATAGTTTTACTGGATATTGAATTCTTGGTTGACAATCTTACTTTTAGTATTTTGACTACTGTGCTTTCTCATGAAAAATCAGCTGTTAATCTTATTTAGCATGCCTTCTACATTATAGGTTACTTCTTGCTACATTCAGAATTATCACTTATTCTTTGGCTTTCAACTTTTAACTATGATGTGTCTCTCTTTTACTTTATCACATTTTGGAGTTTGTTGAGCTAATGATTAGACAGTGATTTCCTTAAATGCTTTGAACCAGTAAGTATTCCAGCCTTTGCCAAAGGGCTCTGTCTGTGTATGTGTTCATGGATGCCCTTAACAATCTGACAAGCAATTGATAGTTCTGCTTAGCCTTCATTTCCTGCTTGCTCAGAGCAAGTGAGATATTAAGGCCTTCTCAGGTTATTTCCTTGGCATGCACACATCCCTATACATGTGTATAGCCTTTTCTATGTCCAAGAATATATTGCAGCATTTCAAAACCACCTGTGGACATCTCATTCCTCAGGTTTTCCTTATAAGTATTTTGGTCAGCTTGTTTGCCCCAATTGGTATCTCTGTCTCATCCAGCTGGGATTTTAAACAATTGCCACCAATTGTTTTCAACAAATATTATATATAGAATTAAAGCTGTTTCCACATAATGAGTTCTGAATCAAGTCAAATAAAACAACTGCAGAGAATGGGCCTTTTCTAAGGAAGTGGCAGATAAGGTCAAATAGTAGCAGTTTTCTGGAAATTATGCTTTTTGGAGCGCCTCCTCCTGCCCACCCTCTACTGATTGCTGAATTTCACAGCTATCATGCTTGTAAGACTCTTATTTTTCAAGCTGCCAAAGAGCGAGGGAGATAAAAATGGCAGTAGAAAAAATTAAAATGCCACTGTTGGTCTCACTTTTTTTAAATAAGTGCTCCTCCATTGTTGTAAGTATTTGGTTGATTTCCAGAATTCTGAAAAAAGTTAGTTTTGACTAATTTGCCAGTGATCTCACTGCTTTTATGAAGGAGTGAATTTTTGGAGATATTTATTCTGCTCTTCTTTTCTGTCATTTTTTCTTTGTTTAATAGACTTCATTTTTTAGAACAGTTTTA